CCTTTCACCATACTTATTCAGTCTGTATGCTAAGCAAATAATCCAGGAAGCTGGACTATATGAAGAACAGGGCATCAGGATCAGAGGAAGACTCATTAACAACTTTCAATATGTAGATGACAAACTTTGCTTGCTGAAAGCGAAGAGGACTTGAAGAACTTACTGATGAAGATCAAAGCCTATAGCCTGCAGTATCGATTGTACCTCAACATAAAGAAAACAAAAATTCTCACAACTGGACCAATAAGCAACATCATGACAAATGGAGAAAAGATTGAAGTTGTCAAAGATTTCATTTTTCTTGGATCCACGATCAACACTCATGGAAGCCGCAGTCAAGAAATCAAATGACGTATTGCATTGGGCAAATTTGCTGCAAGAGACCTCTTTGAAGTGTTAAAAAGCAAGGATGCCACTTTGAGGACTAAGGTGCACCTGACTCAAGCCATAGTATTTTCAGTCACCTCATATGCATGGAAAAGCTGGACAATGAATAAGGAAGATCAAAGAAGAACTGATGTCTTTGATTATAGTGTTGTTGAAAATATTGAATATACCATGGACTGCCAGAAGAATGAACACATCTGTCCTGGAAGAAGTACAGTCAGAATTCTCCTTAGAAATGAGGATAGGAGACTTTCCTCTCATGTACTTTGAACATGCTATCAGAAAGGATCAGTCCCTGGAGAAGGACATCATGCTTGGTAAAGTAGAGGGTCAGCAAAAAAGAAGAAGACCCTCAACAAGATAGCTGAAACATAGCAACAACTGTGAGGATGTCACAGGACCGGGCAGTGTTGTGTTCTGCTCTACATAGGGTCACTATGAATCAGACCCGACTCGACAGCACCTAATAACAACAACAACCACCTTCACCTTAGGTCAGTGGTCCTTAAAGTGCGGTCACTAAACCAGTAGTATTAGCGTTATCTGGGAACTTGTTAGAAATGCAGATTATCAGGCCTCACCCCAGATCTACTGAACCAGAAACTAAGGGTGAAACACACTAATTTTTGTTCTAACAATCTTTCCAGGTAATTCTGATGAACATTAAATTTAAGAATCACTGTATTAGAATAATTATACAAGGAGAAAAAGGAACAAATAGTTGGGGCTTTTCAACCATTCAGTTGAAGATTGCTGTTGGGCAAAACGTGTAGAAAAAAACACATCTTCCTATAATGCTATTGATAAAATAGTTCAAGCAAGAATTATTCATAATCAAGAGCAAGAATGCCTTAAGAAAACTTCCTTGGGAATTTGCAGGTACAAGGCCATCCAACAGAAGTGTTTATCTGTATGGATACGGAGTTGTTAGAAAGAAAAACAGTTGTTGTGGAGTTGATTCTGACTCATGGCAACCCCATGTGTGTTAGAGTAGGACTGTGCTCCATAGGGTTTTCAAAGGCTGATTTTTTGGAAGTAAGTCACCAGGACTTTCTTCCAAGATGTCTCTGAGTGGACTTGAAGACTTGAACCTCCAACCTTTTGATTAGCAGTGAAGCGTGTTACTGTTTGCACCAGCCAGGGACTCCATGAAGTTATTAATCAGGTGGGAAAACATTTTATAAATGCTTTACAAAAAGCCTTTTGGTGAAAAGGCTTTATAATTTAAAAATGAACTCTAGTACGTGTGAGTATTGTCATTTCATGTATTAGCTAGTCAAGGGACAGATATTTAATTTTTGCAGCTTTGTCAGAACTACTCAATTCTGCGATTATGCAATTTTAATGCTGTAGCCAGAAAACAGCCAAAGACAATACGTAAGTAAATTGGCGTGCCAGTGTGCCAATTATTTACACAAAGAGGGGGTAGGGCCAGATTTAGGACTGAATTTTGCCAACCTCTGACTGGACTATAGATATATGGCTTTTAACACAAGCACATGTACAGTTTAGCTGAATAGGTGGAAAGGAGACACTGCAAGTAATTCAGGCAATCATGAAAATTATTACCTGTGAAAACATTTCCCAGGGCCATATTAAACTTAATCCCAGCCCTCACCAGCCTCAGTCAGTTTTGCCAAAGCATGCTTGATTTTTTAACCACACACTTGCATTACTCTCCTCAGACACGAACACCTACTGTATCATTTTCTTCCCTTCAAGTCGTCTTTGAGAGAGCAGCCCATGCCCCTGCATTGATTCCTCTCAGTGAATTTTCATGAATTTTCTGTGCCATCCTACCATGATATTCGCAGCCACTTAAGTCTCACAAACTACTTTAACAGTGTATGAAAAAAATCATTTCCTTGTTAATTATACCGAATTAGATTAATTACAAAACTAGTCTCCAGGTCATCAGTTTGGCATGTCCGCCCAGGCAGACACCCTTTCCTGGTCTGTGTCTGTGCTCTTTCCTTTCTCTATTCTTCAGCTCCTCTTCTCATGATCCTCTGACCAATGAGACCGTATTTATCTGGTTCTCTAGTTAATCCCTTGTTATGGTTGAATTCTGTACCCAAAAAAAAGATAATGTTCAAGTTCTAATCCCAGTATTTGTGAGTGAGACCTTAATTGGAAATAGGGTCTTTGCAGATGTAATCAAGTTAAGATGAGATCATACTGGATTAGGATGGAACCTACTCCAACGACCACTACCCTTATACAAAGAGAGAAATTTGGGCACACGCAGGAGAATGCCATGTGATGATGGAGGCAGATATTGGAGTGGTGCATCTACAAGCCAAAAGAAGCCAATGATTGCCAACAACTACCAGAAGCTAGGAAGAGGGCTAAGAAGAATTCTCTTCTAGAGCCTTCAGAGAGAGTGTGACCCTGCCAACACCTTAATTTCAGACTTCTAGCCTCCAGAACTGTGAGAGAATGAACTTCTGTTGTTTCAAACTCCCAGCGTTTGGTAATTTGTTATGACAGCCCTAAGAAATAATAACACCACCCCAAACTACATTTGGTGACTCTTTCCTGCTTGTGCCCCCAGAAATTTCTAGGACAAAACTTCAGTTTTCCCGGACAGGTCTTTATTATTTCTTTAAAAATTTCTCTAAACTTTCCAAGTACATTATTTCTCTAAAATTACCAAATGTCTTCAATTCATCCTTCTTCCTCCAACCAAAGCATCCCCAATGCAACTGGCATTATGATGCTTGTATTCGCTTCCATTCATGTCTAAGACTCCTAATTTCCTCAGATAACATAAATAGTCACACACCCTAAACCCAAATATATTCAATTACTTCCATCCATCTAAACTGTGATTTTTCTCCTAATCCACTCATGATTGGGATGGGGAAAGGGTTTTCTTTGCAGTAGCATTCCTCAATTTTTTTTTTTTTTTTTACTTTAATAAATCCTATGAGTCCTAACAGGAATACCTTTCCTTGAAAACACATTTCACTTTTCTCTACTTGGCAGCACATCTCCACCAGGTAAGCGAAATCTCTGACGATTGATTGGAGCTGTGTCTCTGCTGCACGGGGATTCTGCTTCACAAGGTTGCTGAGTAGCCTGAATCAGAAAACAGGAAGCACTCTCAGAGTTCTAGAAGGCCAAGTTATAAATGTGCCTTATTCCCTGGAGCTGCACACCACCCATGCATGCCTTTTCATCACTTCCACTCTTAAGTTTGAAGGCTCCAAAAATGCCCTGAAGTCTTCATAGTTCACAAATCTCCCTGTCCTCTTCATGCTTTATTAAACATACTTTTCTTCAAGTACATCTCTGTAATATAATTATATCATTAAATTTAATTCTCTTTATGTAATTACTAGTAAACATTGTTGTTTTCTAAACTTTTCGTTGTATATGAAGACTAAATATACTCTATAGTAAATTAAATGGTTGTGTCTACAATATTTTATTATGAATTCTGAACAACTAATCTCTTAATAAACATTGGGCATATAACAGACTTGGAAATTGAGGGCCCCTCATGTTATCAATGATAAAACCAATAAACTAATTTGAAACCACATGGCTTGACATTCAGCTCAGATTCTCCCTCATAGTATATGTTTTTCCACAACTAGATAAACAGCCTTGTTTCAACCACTTTGAACATTGAAAATTGTAACCTGGTTTCTGTCTCCCTATTCAATAAATAATCATCCATTTTCCTCTTTTTTTTACTGTTTTTGTTGTTGTTATTGTTGTTGCTGTCGTTAGTTGCCAACAAGTAGATTCCAACTCCTGGCAACCCCATGTGTGCAAGATAAAACTGCTCCATAGGGTTTTCAAGGCTGTGATCTTTTGGAGGTAGATCACCAGGCCTGTCTTCTGAGGCAACTCTGGCTGGGTTTGAACCTCAACCTTTCAGCTAATAGTTGAGCACTTAACCAGTTGTGCTACCCAGGGACCCGTATTACTATTTTAGACCAAAAAAAAAAAAAAAAAAAAAATTAACTACAAAGAAAATAAGGAATAAAGCGTAGAGAAATGTACATTAATTGATATTCTACTGCTTACCCCAAACGAGCTAAAAGTCTTTGCATATCCATTTGAAACTCACTTTGATAATACCTAGTGGTCTTATTTGTGCCTTAAATGGGTATAAAAGAAAATCTCTCAGAGCTCTAAGTAGCTATTACAATTACAATTTAACCCAGGAGTCCAAAAACTTTCTGTAAAGGACCATATAGTAAATGCTTTAGGATTTACTGACAAAGATGATATTATGTAGGTATTTATATTACATTACAGAAACCCCCCGACCCACCTCACCCCACTCTGTTTGTTTGGGGTGGGCCACACCAGGTGGTGGGTACAGTTTTCCTTCAGTTGCCATCAGCTGGAGGCTTTTCTCCAGATAAAGATGAAAGGGGACCAGCCAGTGGGGAAGGGGCCTGCCAAGCCAGCAGAGAGGGAGGAGGGGTGACAGGAGCACTCTGGTCAGTTTCACTCCTGTCCCTGTGACACTCACCCCAAGGCTCCCTTCTCTTCATCCAGGTGTCTCTACTTGGGCAGTTGACAGAATGGAGGCATGGCGATTCACTGAATCACTGATTCCCAGACTGAAATGCCACCCTTTGCTGCCAGGCAGTCGCCAACATCTGAGTCCCCAACATGTATATGGCACCAGTGCAGGGGAGGTAGGCTGTGGGAGTGGTAGGCAGAACAAGGGTGGAATAAACGCTCCTAGCTTGGTCTCTGCGGCTCCCAGGACTAGCCTACCCCAGGGGTACCCACAGGCCCTACAAAAATAGCCTTGGGTGGATGGCTTGTCATCCCTGATCTAACCAATAAAAGAAGACTTCCAGGCTAATGTGGTGGCCCATTGGACATGCTTCTTCTGAACTTCCCATTTCAGCTCCACCTCCCTCCACTCTCCACCCCCTCTCCCAATCCCTCATCCCTTGCCAAAATCTTCCATGAGGATAGAAAAATTGAAACAACAGCATGGCTAAAAGTAATAGGGAAACAAAAGTCAGGTTTTTGTTTGTTTGTTTTAGTAACTACCACATTGATGAGGCTGGTGTGAGAAGAGTATTTCTGATGCTCCCTCTGAGTACCAACACAACAGAGCCACAGGAATATAGGAAATTTTAACTAACTCTATGTTTGCCCCCTATTCCAAGTCCTAGGAATCTATCCTGAGGAAAGATCAGATATGGGACAAATACTTGTATACAAAGGTTTTCATTGTAACATTGTAACAATCTTCATGTCTAACAATAGAGAATGGTTAAATTCATCATGGTACCCATATAGTGAATAATACAGAGCCATTAAAAGACTGTTTTGAAGAATAAATAGCAACAAAACTGTTTACATTATAATTTTTTAAAAATCTCTATGCTGAGTGAAATAAACCAATCACAAAAGGACAAATATTGTATGACATCGCTTATATAAAAAGACAAGACAAAAAACCACTATATATATGTATATATATATCTATATAGATATAGAGATGGAAAGCCAACATCTATTGAGTATATTGAGTAGTCACTATGTTCCAGGCAATGTGCTAATAATTGTTTATTTGTTATCCCATGTAATGCTGTCTGTTATCTCCAAAAAAAAAAAAAAACAAAACCTATGTTATCTACATTTTGCATTTGTAAGAGGAGTTCTGGGTTCTTTAAGAATAATATAAGTCTGGGCATATCTAGCAAACTGGTAGGGTGAGTTTCCCTCCCAGAAGGCATGAGGATTGGGATCTACTTGTGAGAGCTCATCCTGAGATACGAAGCCAGGCACAAGGACTTCCATCCAGTAAGAAAAGTTTGGTTAATGGAAGACACGGTCATTCTGTGATTCCCCAGCCTGGCCTCCAATAGACTTATTTCTGAGTCATAAACAAAGATCAGGGTAACTCTCTGAAAACGTACTGGAAGAGCACTGTCATTCAGGTTCTGCAAACCATTACAACACAAGCAAGTCTGCCAGGAGTTCCTCTAAAAGTGCATAATTCCGGCGGAGGTATTCTGTCTGCCTCCCAGCAAAGCATAAAGTAGCTTTGCCATTTCGAGGGATTCAGTCTGCAGCTGCGCAGGAGACAGCAGTGACTGGAGGACATGAGGATTCCCAGTGGTGGTGCAGTCATGGTGCCAGGGAGAGCGGTGACTGGAGAACTCCTGGGGGTGGTGAGGTGAGGGGAGTGTCGTAACTTCATGCAGAGGATTCTGGGAATAATTGCTAGAGCTGAAATTGTGTATAACTAGGTAATAGCAAGGGCCTGCAAAACCTCACCATAGACTGGTGGGCAGTGGGGAATTGTGGGAGTGTGTTCGTATGCATATGACCTCATATATAGCCTCCACCTTTCTACCAGCGGAAACCCTGGTGGCGTAGTGGTTAAGAGTTCAGCTGCTAACCAAAATGTCAGCAGTTCAAATCCACCAGGCGCTCCTTGGAAACCCTATGGGGCAGTTCTACTCTGTCCTATAGGGTCACTTGGAGTCGACTTGACAGCAACGGGTTTGGTTTTTTGGTTTTTATCTAGCAGTGGAGGCTTGTGTGTTGTTACATTGCTGAACAGGTTTCAGTAGAGCTTCCAAACTAAGACAGACTGAAAAAGAAAGAACTGGCAATTTACTTCCAAAAAATTAGCCAATGAAAACCTTACAGTTCACAACGGAACGGTGTCTGATCTGCAACCAACCTGGGGGATGGCGCAGGACCTGACAGTGCTTCGTTCCGTTGTGCACGTTGGTTGCCCTGAATTGGAGCCAAATCAATGGCATCTAACAACAAAAATACACATATTTATAACGGTATAAGTGAAAAAACAATAGCTATCTCTGTACTGTTAGAATACAATGATTATAGTTTTCTTCTCGCTACTCTTCTGTATTTTTTAAAATTTCTGCAATCATTGTGTTGCATTAGTAGTAAAATAAATATTTTTAAAGAAATAGAATAGTATAAGAGTTGTCTTTTCTACCAAATTGTTCTATACATATTGATTCTTCATTCCAAATTAGACCTAAACTTGGTCCCACCTGAAAGAAAACACTGTGCTTATGTGTGTCTCTGTATTACTCAAATCTATATGGTCAGGATATATGCTCAAATCAGTTTATACTACCTATGACTAATAGTTGTCAGATTTTAATAAAGTAATTATTCAAAGTAAGAAATACAGGCTATTTCCCATTGGAATTTGATGGATTTTCTCTCAGAATATATTTTTCTACAAAAACAGTATTGCTCGTGATGCTGAAATTTACTGGCCAACCCATAAAAACACAGACTAGCTTAAATCCCAGATTACAAAAACTAACCTCCATGAGTACCTTCGGGAAACTCATATCACAGACCTTGCTCTGATTCAGGCCTAAACAGTGTGATTACCCTGTTTCCAAACACTTGTTTGTGGTTTCCAAGGTCTGGGGTAGGGGATTCAGCACTACAAGAAGCTGAGGCTGGTGTAAAGAGGGGAAAAGCTTTCCTCCTAGTCCATGCTAAATCAAGTCACCCTCTAATAGCATGAAAAAGGCATAAACTTAAAAGTCAAGCCTGGTTTAAATTAGGTCCTCTACTCACTAGTTTGTGTTACAATGGGTGACATACTCAACCTCTCTCTGACCCTTATCTGTAAAAAAGAAAATTTGAATACCTACATTGCAAGGTTTTTGTGAGGAATAAAGCTAATATATTAATGGGCTGAGTATAGTACCTGGCACAAAGAAGGCACTTAATAAATAGCAGGAGAGATAATAATGAATAATAATAATAATAGGACTACTTTCTTCTATTTCAAATTATCAGTTGCTTCCACCCATGGTCTTCCTACTACCTGACCCTCAGAATAAATAATACATCCTCACAGCTTTTCCTCTAGCCGTTCATTTAGTTATTCAGCAAATAATTGCTGAGCATCTTTTCGATTTCCCTGAGGACTACTGTTGCACATTCAACAATAACACGGAAACCTAAAGGAAGAGGCAGGAAGTCTCCCTCATCCGTACTCTTTTTTTTTTTCTCACTTGTAAACTGCGAGACCCCAAGTGCCTTTGGTGACTTGGTCCCTCCCAGCCCCTCTAGTCTCATCTCTGCAAGTCCCT